CTTGCTGCTTTTAAAATTCTTTCTTTGTCTTTAACTTTTGACAATTTAATTATAATGTGTCTTGGTGTAGCCCTTTTTGGGTTCAACCTATTGGGATTCCTTGGGCCTCATGAATCAGGGAGCCCATTTCCCTCCCCATTTTTGGAATGTTTTTGGCCATTATTGCTTTAAGTAGACTTTCCTTTTTTTTTCTTTAATCTTTTGGGATTCCCATAATGAGTATATTTTTTGGTTTGTGGAGTCCCCAATTTCCCACAGGCTTTCTTCACTCTTTCATTCTTTTTTTTTCCTTTTTGTTCCTCTGACTAGATAATTTGAAATGATTTATCTTCTAGTTGATTGTTTCCTCTGTTTGGCTGAGTCTTGTTAAAGCTCTCTATTGAATTCTTCAGTGCAGTCATTTTATTCTTTAGCTTTAGGATCTCTGTTTGTTTGGGTTTCTTGGTTTTGTTTTATTTTGATGGTTTCTATTTCTTTCTTGAACTTTTTATTTTGTTCATGCATTGTTTTCTAATATTGTTTAGTTGTCTCTGTGCTCTTGTAGTCTGCTGAACTTCTTTAAGAGGATTGTTCTGAATTCTTCGTCAGGCAGTTCATACATCTCCATATTTTTAGGGTAGCTATTGGAGCTTTATTCATTTCTTTGGATGGTATATTTTTCTAATTTTTCATGGTCCTTGCTTCTTTGTATTGGTATCTGTGTATTTCAGTAAGCGGTCTCCTTTTCCAGGCTTTACAGTTTTGCTTTGGTAAGGAAACATCTTTACCAGTCAGCTGGTAGAATTTGTGGGCAGGTTGGGCTTACTATCATCATCTCTGTGTGGGCCAGCCTCTCTATTTTCTCTGAGTTTGCAGTGGGGTGCTGCTGCCTGGGTTCTATGGCTGGATGGGACTGCTGGTTGGGTTCTGTATTCAAGCAGGGCTGCTCGGGTGGGCTCGCTGTTCAGGTGGAGCTTCTGGCTATGTCAGAGCTAGTGACTCAGCCTTTTCACTGTCAGGTTGAGCCCCTAAGTCTGCAATCAACTCTTGGTTGATGAGGTTGTAGGCTGTGTTTCCTGACAGGGTGGTGCCATTGGTTGGACACCATGATTGGGTAACTATGAGAGGGATTCTACAATCTCTCCTGGTCAGGTAGTCTTATGCTGTGCTTCCCAACTGGATGGTGCTGCTGATTGGGCTCCATGTTCAGGTGGGGCTGCCAGCTGTGCCCTGAAGTTGGGTGGGGCTACAGGCTGGGCTCTGTGACTTGGTAGCACTGTGGGCTGGGCTACAAGGCTGCCCAAGGTCATTCTTCAGACTCATTGGTTATGTGGAGATAGGGGATATGCTCAACAGTTGGGCAGGGCAGCTGGCTAGGCTCTCTGCCCAAGCAGAGCTGTAGGATGGGCTTCTCAGCTAGCTGGGTTCTCTTGTCAGTCTTCCTCAATGGATGGGACTTGAGACTATGCCTAGCAGTTGGGTAGGGCTGTGAATTTGCTTTCCTGAAAGGTAGAGTGGTAGTATGGTCCACTGACTATGGACCCAAATTGGGCAGAACTGCCAACCAAGCTCTCTGGCTAGATGGGGCCACCAGCCTTGCCTTGCAGAGGGTCATTCCTGCTGGTTGGAGTCTTTGCTTGGGTACTGCTACAGGCAGGAACTTGGTCTGCCAAGGTTTGAGTGCTGGTTAATGTAAGCCTTGCCTCCCACTTCTCCATCTCTATCTGATTCCTAAGTTGTCCCCAGGAGGCAAGACCTGAATGGGTCTTGCAGAAGTGTCCTGTGACCCTGGAAGAGTTGGACGTCCACCTTGATTTTCTTTTCTCACTGAAGAAATTATAGTAGGCCTGAGAGGGTACTCTTGGTGCAGTGCTATGTCAGCCTGGAGGAGGGGTGATGCAGTCCAAGTGTAGCTGCTCCTCTTACCATTCTAATATGGTCCTTCTCAGTCTCTGTGGTTCAGAGGGGTGCTTCAGCTTCACATCTGGGTGCTGGGATTTCCACAGTGGTGACTTGTCTATGGACAGTGGCTAGTTGGTCTTCTTAGGAGGGGGACTGAAGTTGGGGATGACTTATCTCACCATCTTGATGATCTATTGTAGGTCTGATCAGTCATCTGGTGTGGCATAAATTAACTTCAGTATGTAACCAAACAACTATGTGTGGTTTGCTCATTTAAGTTGTAGTAACTCGGAGCTTGTAGTTCTCACTGAGCAGAGATTGGAAACTAATTATTCATTTATAAAAGTCCAGAATAAGATAGTTTCTTTGAAGTTTTAACTTTATGCAAAAGAAGTATTTCTTGGATTAGGAAGCATGAGTTTGTATCAAAGCCTGCTGATCCTTCTGGTTGCTCAAGAAGTATATCTCCAGCTGGTAACTTTTGTGTAAGTTAAACTGGAATTACTCTTAAAAGCTTTATAACATGTAGTGTCAAGGGATGTCTGGGGAGAAAGACTATAACCTGGGCTCAATTGGGCCTTGAGATGATACTGAACAAGTTTTTTTCAGGCAGCAGGAAAGGATTTGATGCCATGAAGGAAGAGACGAGTCACTTTTAAATGGGGAAGAACTTGAGTAAAATAATTCTGGGCATTGGAACCAAATGGAAAGAAAAGGCCAAATGTTCCCTGTGGTTTGGGCTTCTATCAATAGTACAAAACTGCTTGGTAACCTCTTATTAATTGTAAGAAGGGAGATGGCATTTTCTGATGACTTATTTTCTGGCAAGCTCTCTGTTGATGCTTTGCTATATGTTAAAGAATTTTATTTCCATAAGTAAGATGTGAGGCGGGTGGTAGCTACCTCATTTTAGGAATGATGAAACTATTTGTTAGATTCAGTCACCATGCCTCCATAATTAAGTCAACAGCCCACTTAGGCACAGAAGGACTAGTCTCTTGATGATGTTTAAAGAAGGGCATTGGAAAGCAATACTGTAGTTGGCAAACTTTATCGGTAAAGGGCAAGATATTAAATATTTTAGCAATTGCAGGCCATATGGCATCTGTTGCAACTGCTAATTCTGCCATTGTAGCAAGAAAGCAGCCATAGATGATCTGTAAATAAATGGGAGTGGCTGTTTCATTAAAATTTTATTTACAAAAACAAGGATTGGGTCATTGCATGATGAGCCCTGTGTTAGAGGAACAGAACTTTATGGGAGATAAGGCTGATGTGTTTTATCAGTAAGAGACATGAATTCAAGCTTCACACTTGGCACATGCTAACTGCTCGATAATTATTTAACAAGTTAGATCCATGAGCCTGTATTTCTGCTGGTTTGAACAAATCTACATAGACTTTAACTGCATTATAAAAAAGTATGAAAAAGTGTTCTTTCTAAACTAGATTGCTTGTTATAGCTTGTCAAGAGAGCTTATGGGTCTTGGAAGTCTTTATCAGTGGGGGAGCTGCATGATGTGGGTGGGTCAAGCTCAGTCCTATTTGAGGACATAGGATTAATGGCATTTTGAGATGTACTTCCAGGACGTAAAGGCAGAGAGATTAAGAACTATAAAGGAACAATCAGTGAGTCACAGTGATTAACTGAATGTAGTGGTGTGGAAGAAAAGGTCAAGAATGGCCCCAAAGTTTTGAACTAGAATGATCAAAGGATGAATAGTATCATCATCAACAACAGAAATTCTCTAGCCTAGCTCTGCAGTCACGAGAAGACACTGTGATTGGATTTTGCACATTATTAAAGAAGGAGCTCACTCAAGTTCTTTATCCCTTCCTCTTTCCTTGACCTCTGATCCTTTCACTCTAGTCTTCCTCTTTTCCCTACAGTGTCAGATTATGCCTGTGTCACCAGGGAAAATTTCTGGTTGAGTCATTCAACCAAGTCAACAATATTTATTGACTATCCATTGTGCACCAAGCATTGTTGGGGGCGCTGTACCCAAACGTGACTATTGCTTTGCTTATCTCTTTGCATGTTTAGGTAATGAGTACAGCGCTGGTGGGTTTTAAACACTCTAGAATAGATCCTTTCTCCTGTGCTTTATTTGATAAGTAACTGCCATTTAGTTTGTCTGGTTACATCTAAAGCACAAGCCAAGACTGATTTTATGGACCAAATTCCTGTGTGTGTGTGTGTGTGTGTGTGTGTGTGTGTGTATGTGATTGCTTAATAAGATTTTGAGCAAAGCTTTAGAAAACTCTGTGTGATGAGGTTCTAGCATTTAAAATGGAGATTCCGAAGCTCATCAGGCAAAGAAAGCATCAAGGCCAATTAAAATACCTGCTACAGTATCATCTTCAGACAGATAATTTATTACTATCCAGAGCAGAAACAAACCTGAGCCTTTGGAGTTAGCAATAGTTTAACTAATGGCTTCTGAGAAGATTCTGGAACATAAGGTTTTGGCATTCCATTCTTTTTTAATATTTGATGTAAGTTCCCTCTCAGATCATAAGCAAATACAGCTCCTATTGATTAGTGTCTAGTAGGGGCAAAGAAATTTAATATGGACTTGGGAAAGGAGAACACTTTAGGGCAAGATTACAGGTACATGAGTAATTTGAAGAAAGGAAGTTGGATGGATGAGGGAAAGTTTCAAGGTTAGTTTATGAGAAGAGGACAGAAATGGTACAAGGAGGGAGGGAGAGGGAAGAGGTAGAAACAAAGGGTGACTGTGAGGCTGGCATGACAGTGGGAGGTCAGAATGAAGAGCTCTATTATTGCACCACTGTCTCTGGCATGCTTCCAGTCATGATAGGCAGAGGGAGAGTGAGTTGTATTGTGTTCTATGGCCATTGACCTCACCCTGAAGGTGGTCCCCAAAAACAGTGCTTAGAGGTCTCAAGAAACACTCCTCCCCCGCAAAGTCCAACCCAAATTTGGCTGTTTTCTGAAGCAACATGTTCTTATATAAAGCAAAGTTTTCTTTATTCTTTTAAATAATGTTAACTCTGACCGTACCATTGAAGCCTCTGTAGATGAAAATCCCTTAATGAAAGTATGACAAAGCTGCCCCCAAGCACAATGCCAAAAAGCTTGAAAAAAGAAGTGTTACCTGAAATTCCTTTCAAGTTAGCTTTGAGTGGATCAAAAAGATCGGTGACTCCCCAAGAATTTAAAATGCTTTTTAAATTGAAATGATTTTGGATCCTGAATCTAAAAAACAAAAACAAACCATCAACTTTCATTTAAAAATCTCATTCAAAATATTTTCATATACAACACATGACTGCCAAACTCCCTAACTTGGAAGTCAGGGATCTCCAGCCTCATTTCCAGCTTTATTTTTCATTGCTCCTTCTCATAAACCCTACCCCCTGACTAGTCTGACCACACAGGGCTCGCTCCCACCTCTAAACCTTTGCTTTTGCTGTTCTTTCCATGCCATCTCCTTTGATTGCCTTTGAGTTACTACCATGACTGCCATTTCCTCTAAGCTCAATTCAATTGTTATCCTCTCCTTTCCTCTCCAGCTGTTTTGTGTCCTTTGGTTGCTAAGGCCCCATTAACACTTGGTTTGTCCTGCTCTCTTGGTGTATGGAATATTCTGCTTCCTATTACTATTATTTATGACATTATAAACTACTTGAGAAGAGAGGCTATCCCAGTCAATGTTTTATTTCCTAATAGTGCTAGACACTATGACAAGTGTTTTATGTGGATTATCTAATTTCATCTTCACATAACTATGTTATTATTATCCTCATTTTACAGATGAGAAAACTGAAGCCTAAAGAGATTAAGACACTTGCCCAAGATGACGTAATGAATACGTGGTGGAACTCAACACAAAGCAAGGCTGTCTGAGTGCAGAGCATGTGCTGCTGGCATCTACTCTTTGCTACCTCCCATCTTGTGAGGCATCTCACATAGTAGGTGCAGAAAAGAAGCTGTTGATTAATTGACAATTAATAGAGTGTCTCATTTAATATGTTCATATTTTATAAGACATATTTTTGTGTTTGCTGTGTGCAGTGTGTGTCTTTGATGCATAGGAGGGAAGGAATGCAAGTTAAAGCTTTGGTTTTCCTAATAAGTCCTGTGAGCAGGAAGAATCAACACACCAACTTTGTAATATTTCTCCAAGGGCAAGGCATTTAAAATTTTACTGTTGAAGGATCCTTTTAAAGGATTGCTCACACTATTTTTCTTTGAAAATAAAAAAGTTTGAAATGGAATTTAGATGATCTTTTTCTATCAACTATGCAGAACTTGTAGGAAAGTAAAAAGACCAGACAAGACCATTTAATATCAAAGATCTTCATTGCCATACAAGACAATGTGACTAATATTTTAAACAGAAGCATCATATTTTCTCATAAATATATGTTTTAGAATAGTTTCCCAAAAAGGTTTTACGCCTTCTCCAACTATGCTGACATTCTCAAAAAAATATTTTGCACCACCTCTTCTAAAATTTTCTTAAATTCTTAAAACACATCCACCTTGAAAACTCTTACTGCTGAAACATATTGGTTAAGAGCATGGACTTGGGAGTGCAGTGCCAGGATTTGAATCCTGGCGCAGGCTCTTACTAACTGAGGGAAGTGGGGCAAGTTACTTTACCTCTCTTTGCCTCCATTTCCTTATTTGTGAAATGAGCATAATAGTAGTGCTTAGTTATAGCTTTGTGAAGATTAAGTGAAATAATTCTTGTAAAGTGCTCAACAGTGCCCAGCACACCTCATGCACTTATTGTTACTGCTGTGGTTTTATTGTTTCTCAGGGATAGAGAAAAAGCTCAGGGATGTTTGAAGCCAAATATGGTGATTATGGTAGGTGATAAAACTGGGTAATATCATTTTTAGTAACTAAAGATAATAGTAAAAGTGAGGTATGACCATAAAAGGTGAGAGTGATTTTTTTTTTTCTTGTATGGCTATGAAGGCCAGCCCAGAAGAAATGCTACAAAAATATCTTGAGTAAAAAAATTGCCCTTTACCAAAACCAGACAATGATATCATGAGTAAAGAAAACTACAGACTAATATCCCTTATGAATATAGATGCAAAATCCTCAACAAAATACTAGAAAATTGAATCCAGCAACATATAAATCCCACCATGACCAAGTGGGATTTATCCCAGGAATGCAAGGTGGGTTCAACATATGAAAATCAATCAGTGTAAAACACCAGGTTAACAGAATAAAGGACAAAGGCCACATGATTATCTCAATAAATGCAGAAAAGCATGTGAAAAAAATCTAACACCCTTTCATGAAAACAAAAATCACTTAATAAACTTGGGATAGAAGGGAAATTTTTCAGTCTGAAAAAGAGCCTCTACAGAAAACTCCCAGCTAGCATCATACTTAATGGTGAAGACTGAATGCTTTCCTCCTAAGATCAGATATAAGAGAAGGATGTCCACCATTTCTATTTAACATTGTCCTGAAGGGTGTGGAGGGCAATTATGCAAGAAAAAGAAAATGCATCTGGATTAGAAAGGAAGATATAAACCTATCTCTATTCACAGACGGCTTGGTCTTGTATACAGAAAATCTTAAGGAATACACACACAGAATGAAAAAATTCTTAGAACTAATAAATGAGTTCATCAGGGTGGGAGGATATGAGATCAAGGTACAAAAGTCAACTGTGTTTTTTTATATTAGCAATGAATAATCTGCAAATAAAATTTATAATAGCATCAAAAGGAATAAAATACTTAGAAATAATTTTAACAAAAGAAATGCAAAACTTGTACACTGAAAACTAAAAAATATAATCAAAAGAAACTAAGGAAGACATAAGTAAAATGAAAAAAGTCCTGTGTTTACAGATTGGAACAGTTAATATTGTTAGCAATATTCTCAAACTGATGTACAGATTAAACACAATCATCATCAAAATCTCAGCTGCCTTTTTTGCAGAAACTGATAAGCTGATCCTAAAATTCATATGAAAATGTATGGGACTCAGAATAGCCAAAACAAACTTGAAAAAAGAACAAAGTTGAAGGGCTAACACTTCCTGATTTCTAAACATTATAGTAATCACGACATTGTGTCATAGTGGTTAAAGTATAGACATTTGTGCCTATAGAATAGAATTGAAAGTAAACCCATTGAAATAAACCCATTCATTTATAGTCAATTAATTTCAACAAAGGTACCCAGAAAATTCAATGGGAGAAAGAATAGTCTTTTCAATTAATGGTGCTGGGACAACTGGATAACCACATGCAAAGAATGAAATTGGACTTCTACCTCATAATACATACAAAAATTAACTCAAAATATAAGAGCTAAAACTATAAAATTCCTAGAAAAAGCACAAACATAGATCTTTGTGACCTTGGTTAGGCAATGGTTTCTTAGAAATGACATCAAAAGAAGCATAAGAAATAAAAGAAAAAATACATTAACTGAACGTCGTTAAAATTAAAAACTTTTGTGCTTCAAAGGACACCATCAAGAAAGTGAAAAGATAACCCACAAAATGGGAGAAAATATTTGCAAATTATGAATCTGGTAAGGGACCAGTATCTGGAATATATAAAGCACTATTACAACTCAGCAATAAAAAGACAACCAATTTAAAAGTGGAGAAAAGATTCAAATAAGTATTTCTTCAGAAAAGATATGTAAATGGCCAGAAAGCACATGAAAATATGCTCGACGTCATCGGTTATTAGGGAAATGCAAATGAAAGTCACCATGAGAAACCACCTCACACCAACTAGGATGGTTACCATAAAAAGATGGGGGTTTTCTTCTCCTATAGCTGTTGTTACACACTGTTGTGAGGTCAGACAGGTTTCAGCCATCTTGCCTCCAGCCTGAGGGAGAAGCCAAAACACAGAGGAGGGCATTGCTGGAGGGCAGAGGAGGTGAATGCATCCGAACTAACGTAACTAAGAATAACTATATAGTTCCCGAATGTAAACTCTACAACATCCCTACTTTTTAACCCTTCCCTCCATGCAGAGGGACTTACCAAAAAAGATGGACAATAACAAGTGTTGACAAGGGTGTGGAGAAACTGGAACCTCAAAATTGCTCGTGGGAATGTAAAATGGTATAGCCCCTTGGAAAGCTGTCTGGTAGGTCCTCAAGATGTAAAAAGTAGAGTTAACACATGACTCAGTATTTCCATTCCTGGGTATATAACCAAGATACCTGAAAACCTATAGCCACACAAAAATGTACACATGAATGTGTTTCAGAAGCCAAAAAGTGAGAACAAGCCAGAAAGTTTCCAGGCACTTAAATGTCTATAGACCAATGAATGGATAAAGCAAAATGTAGTATATCCATACAATGGAAAATTATTCCGCCATAAAAAAGAATGAAATAGTGATGCATACTATGACAAGGATGAACCTTAAAAACATGCTAAGTGAGAGCCGCCAGACTCAGAAGGCTACATGTTGTACGATTTCATTTATATGAAATATACAGTATAGATAAGTCAATTGAGAGCAAAAGTAGATTAGTGGTTGCCTTGGACACGAGTGAGGAGAAGGAATGTGGAGGGACTGCTAATGGGCATGGAGTTTCCTTTTGAGGTAAAGAAAATGTTCTGGAATTAAATAGTGGTGATGGTTGCACAACTTCACCAATATATTAAAAACCTCTGAATTGTACATTTTAAAAGAATGAATTTTATGGTTATGTGAATTATATCTCAGTTTTTTAAAAAAGAAAGAAAACGCCCATAGAAAAACACAATCCACACAGACGATGATTAGTAGCTTTTTGAAAGGAAGGCCAAAACTTCTGAATATATGAGATCTGATGGATTTTTAAAATACTCATAACAAACAAACAAAGAGAAAAAGAGACACATACAAAAAACAGGCTCTTAAACACAGAGAACAAACTAGTGGTTGCCAGAGGGGAGGTGGGTGGAGGATGGGTGAATGGGTGAAATATGTGATGGGGATTAAAAGTACATTTATCATGATGAGCACTAAGAATTGCTGATTCATTATACTGTACACCTGATACTCTATAACACTGTATGTTAATTGTACTTCAATAAAAAAAATCCTGTCTCTTCTATTATCAGAAAAAAATGCTCATGCTTAGCTTCCTACTATGTCGATCTAATAACCAAGTGTCTTATTCATTAAACAAATATATATTTGACATTATTAGTCTTTCTTGTGGGGCATTACACTATTATGGATATAAATTGGCTTTCTTGATTATTCTTTTGGTATGCTAATATCATACCAAGACTAATTGTCCCTATATATTTTATTTCATTTCTTCATAAATAAAATATTACTTTGGAAGCTAGACATCATCATTCCATCCAGAATCTACTAATACACTCTTTGGTGATGCTTAACCCAAAGGCACACCTCACTGCCACATGATTTTTGCACTGCTACTCACAGTGTGCAAAAGTTTTTACTCTTGCTAAATGAAAAACGCAGGCTGGCTGTAAAGCAGATCATATTAAATGATGAATGAATGATTTGCAGAACTAGAGGTAAGTTCTTGCCCAAAACTTGACTTGTGTCTACCATGGTCCAAAGTTTTGTACCCAGATTTAGACCTAAAACCTAGTTTTAATTCTTTCTCTATTTATTCCTTCAAGGGTTTGAAGCTGTTTCTTTACTTGGTGAGTTTTGCTTGTGAAACAGCCTCATTTTGCTAAAACCTTCTATTCTTCTTGGACGGCAGGCTCGATAGTCTTAGGGAGGTAAAAAAGAAATCTATTAGGATAAGGTCAAGTGTTGACTAAGACTGTGTTGTTATGATCTCTGCCATCCCATCCTGTCCCTGTCTTCGGGGTTTTTCAGATCATTCCTCTGAAGGTGGACTCAGAGACAGTGGAAGGCTCTCAGAGGAGCTGGGCATCTTGCTGGGGCCTCTTCCTCACAGCAGCCACTCCAGGATGAGGCCAGCCATCTGTCTCCTCATTCTGAAAAGATTGCAAATTCCTGCACCGTGTTGCACTTTCTCTCTACTTTTCACATTGAAAGCTCCTCTTCCTTCCCCGAGCTTCTCTCAAACATAACAGAAAGATTAGTGTTGCTTCTGTTCCATGCTGGAGAAGATCTGTTGAAATATCCCGTCTTTGTGCTTTCATTTGGGGTCCAGATATTTGGTTTGGAGAGACACAGTCTTTATCTTAGAGTTACCTTCTGCCCTGGTTATGCCAGATCCCACTTTAGACCTTGGCCCTTAACTCATTGGGGTCTCTCTTTGTGTGTTTTTATTTCAGTGTCTGGGCTTATTTTTAATTCCTCGAAGGAGCACTGCCAAGACACTGGCTCCTTGCTGCTGAGGGCCTGGTCAGCAGAGGAGGCCAAAGCGGCCAGCAGGAAGGAGCGCGAAGAATCCACATCCCGAGCCCTCGGACAACATTCCTTGTTTAATGCTGGTCTACAAATTAATTACAAGTTTACTCTGATTTCAAATGTACCAGAGAAGCTTATCATTTAAAGAAGTTCAATAAGGAATTCTTTGTCAAGTAATGAGCTTTGCAGATAAGTTTTGCTTTGGAAAAGCAAAATCTAGAACCATCATTTAACTTTTTGACAATTTGTATTTGTACCTATTGGGTTTTCTTAAAGAAAAGCTAAACTCTATTGAGAAAGAATGAGAACCTTCAGCACAGAGACTAAAAGTCTTGAATTTTTTATACCTTAATTTGCCTTTTGATCAGAATTACTTTGGTATTTGCTCAATTACATAAACTATCTTGTCTTTTTCGTTTTGGAAAAATGTTGTATACTGTTAGGATGTGATCAGATTTGGGGCACATTCCTCCCAGGTAACTGCACTGTTCTTTCACTGCTCAGAGAACTGGTTGTAGCTGAAGCCTGGGGATTCCAGTCTGGTCCAGTTAAGGCAGAGTATCTTCTCTTGAGAAGACCCCAGGAAATTAATTCTGTTCCATCTGCATCATGAGCTAGTCAGTAGAGACTCTAACCTGGACCCCAACTCTAGGGTCACTCCTCCTTGGCCTAACCTCTAGGGGTCCATTAGACAAGTGGGTCCAGTGGTTAAGGACAGACTCCAGAGTGAGACCACCTGGGTTCTCTAATCCAGGCCTGGCCAACTGGATTAGGCTGCTGAGCACCCCATAAGGACGATGCAGCCACTCACCTGGGCAGGAACACGTCCATTCTGGCTCTCCTGAGGCTGGAGGTCCAGATGCGGAGAATGCTGGCTGTGAGGTGTGGCTCAATGAGGCTCAGTGGGGTGTCTTTGTCACGAGGTAGAACCAGGAGCAGACTCACTGAACTTCCCAGGTAAGGCAACTCTAGCACCCTCACCTGATGGCCTGCATGGTCCTGGAACTGGCCTGGGGGTTCAGGAGAGGAGGGTGGGGTATCAGTTCTGTCCCAGGAGCCGGGGAAGGGCCATCTCACAGAACTGGAAACAATACATTTTATTAACAGGTGTCTACCTCACCCTCAGGAAGCAGTTGAGGCCAAAGACTGTCACCTTTTCTGATCTTAAGACCTAGAATTTCTAAGATACCCTTGAGTCACAGGGCCTGCAGTGGCCAGGCACGGTGGGGCTAATGGCACATGGGAGAGCCATCTATCGTCTTTGTTGTTTGTTTTTAAATTCATTTTTTTAAAAAAAGATTTTATTTAAGAGAAAGAACAAGCAAGAGAGAGCATGAGCGGGGGAAAGGGAGAGAGAGAAACAGACTCCCTGGCTGAGGGAGCCCGACGTGGGGCTCGATCCCAGGACACTGAGATCATGACCTGAGCTGAAGGCAGACGCTTAACCAACTGAGCCACCCAGGCGGCCCATCTTAAAGGGGAAGCCATTTCAATCCTGGCCTTTTGTGGCCATGTGGGGACCCAGGCTCTTTGTGCCAGATCTTTCTTTCAACAAAAGCTTTAAGCCCAGATTTCACATAAAATTGGGAAATGTTATGCAGCTGACAGATCAACCAGCATGGGTCACAGCAGCGCTGGGGAAAACATTGGGAACAAGAACTATAGTAGTCATAAATACATATTTACTTATCCAATCGACGTTCTTCCACTCTCATCTTACTTGACCTCAGCTAATAATTACTGGTTGAATAAACAAATGATTAAATTGTGATGAGCACTCACAATGCATCCTGCATGGAATCAAAGCAGGATCATAGCACGTTTTCTAAATGCTGGAGTTCCTAAAACACTGTCTCACTGGAATTAGTCCCCCAGCTGGAAGGGCTGAGCCTGCAAATGAGGGCTTCGAGAGAGGTGTGTGGGGACAGGCGGCTGGGTCCCTTCTCCTCTTCTCCTCTTGCCTTGCTGGGGCTCCATGGAGGCGTCCACGCTGCGGGCCAGCCTGCAGGTGGGGGCTCCTGGCACTGGCTCGGCACTCCGCGCACCTGCACCCCAGTGGGCTGGGATGAGTGACCATCCAGGCAGGGCGGGCAGGCGCAATGACGGATGTCAGGTCCACGGGGGCGCGCTCTCAAAAGCTTTCTAGACTGGACTCAATCTTCTGCCCTTTCTCAGTGCCAAACCGTGAAATGGCTGTTCATTTCATGGGGGTGCCTATGGGGGTGGGGGTGGTCTGGTCCAAACATTTTTGGTTTTACACTAACGCCTCTTACTTACTAGGTGCAGAGGGAAATGTCAAGCGTGAGATTCGATTTCTCTCCCCCACCCCTGCTTCCTCACTGTCCTCTCTGGGTCTTCCTGCCCCCTGGGCTCTCCTTGCCCCGCACCCACCTCACAGCAGAGGAAAGGCAGAGAAACACTGCGGGTCCTTCTAGAGCAGACATGGCCCACATTGCTCCTGTGTTCCTCTCACTTAAGACGGCCCCGCGAGTGGGGAAGGAGCTCACCGTAGTTGACCTCGGCCATTTGGTACATCATGGGGACCTGGAGGACGAGGCCCTGGGCGCCGGTGAAAGGCAGGAGCTGAGTGTCCGTGGAGGAGAACCTCTGCCGCCAAGTGCTTTGGAAGGACATGGTGCTCACTAGTGCCAACTGAGCAAATGCCCCGCCGCCGCCGCGCTCCCACGTAGGGCCACCTGCGTCGTCACCTGCAAGCCGGAGAGTGACTGTGTTGCTGAGACTGGCGCACCTGTCCCGGCAGGTTCCCGGGCATCCCTGAGGTTGGGCTTGTAGCCTGCTTGTTGGTGTCATCAGTTGGGGAACTGTGGTGTTTGTAACTAGCTATTGCTGAACACCGTGCTTTTATCCTTTGCAGAGCGGGTTGGGAGGCTCTGGTACGTCCCAGCGGGGCGTTTCCCGAGGGGCCTTCGGCGTGCACACCTCCGGCCGGGGAGGCACTGGGTGTTGTGGTCGGGCTGCTGCATGGTCTCCCCACTCCCCTTCCCTCCCACCCCACCACCCCAGCCGCTGGGCCTCATCTCTGGCAGAGTCTTTGCTCAGCCAGTCACATCCAGGGCACGGTCTTTAAATTCCATGCATTACCAGAGAGAAGACAACAGGCTCGGGGATGGTTGTTGCCCCAGCCCTTTATTAATAAAAACACACGGTGTGCTCTGTTCGAAATCCTTTGACTAACCCTCCCTGACGCCTCCCACCAGTTCAATTGTTATTCCCAGTTTTTCAGAGGGGGCACCAAAGCTTGGAGAAGCTGTCCCAGGTCGCATACTTGTGAGTGGCAAAGCCACCACCACCTAGCTGCTCAAGACAGAGACCTTGGATCTGAACCCAAGCAGCCCGGCCCCAGACTCCAGGCTCTTCCCTGGCTGCCCCTCTTCCATGGAGGACAATCACCGGGGGGGTTGACCGCAGCTGTGTGGCCTGGCCCCATCCCTGCCCCACAGCACAATGAATTAAACACTTTTAAGTACACTGAAAAGACATTGTGAAACACTGGAGAAAACTGACAGAGAGGGAGTTATTGATAAATTGATATATCTTGAACATTCTCCCTATTTCTGTGTAACCTTTGTAATTATACGGAATGCTAGAGGCAGACTGCCTGGATTGGGATCCTGGCTCTGTGCCTCAGATTCCTCTCTCTGTAAACTGGGGACAATAGCAGGACCTATCTCCTGGGATTGCTGTGAAGGTGAACAGACATAATGAATATGGAGTACTTAGAAAAGTGCTAAATCAGTAAATGGAACCTCAGTAAATGTAATAAATTTTCACCATCTTTAGTAATTCCACTTGCATGATACACAGGTCCTATAACTCAAGGAATCATCCCTAACTGCTGGGCAGTTAGGTTATTTCTAAGTCTTTCTCTTCAGTAACACTGGGTTAAGTGCTTTATTACATATAACTTTTTCTTCTCTTGAATTATTTCCTTAAGCTAAATTCCAAGAATTTCTTTGGCTCCTACTGTATTTTGCTGTCACAGGATGGTAACTGTAGATGACAGCAGAGCTGTGGGGGGGAGGTGTCAGAGATTCACCTTAAGGGAACAGGTGCTTAGAACAAAGCCTGCAGGGCTCCCCTGGAGGTAGGAGGCTCTGAAGAGCCCCCTTCTGTGTGTGCGTGTAGGGGGATGGGCAGAAGGAGGCCTTCTAGAGCACATCATTTAAGGGTAGCGTCTCCCAAGAGGGCAAACTTCTGCTGCAACTGAGGGTGACCTGAGTATCCATCCACGTGGCTTCTGACCAGCAAAGCCTGGTACCTGTGTCTATGGCCCTCTGACATTAGCCTCTCCAAGGTGAATGGTTTCTTTTACCTTTGATCTTCCCGGAGGCCCATTCATTGGCCTGGCTGCCGATGCCGTTCAGTTCACTGAGGTGGGCTGGCTCTATGCTGCTGTTGGCCCACTGGGAGATGTGCTCCACAAAGCAGGGGGAGAGTGGCGTTCCTGCTTGCACAAAAAGGGTGCAGGCCAGCTCCATCTTGGTGCCTTGACCGGCGTTGAGTAGTGTGGCGTACACAGTGCGTAAGAACTCTTTCACCCTTTGGTCTGTGAAAAAGGTGTTGGGATAAATTGACAGTGGTGAGTGTAGGTAAGGAGTTAGCACCATCCCTCTTTGCGCAGTGCACTGGAATGGGGCCTCAGCCACACCACTCTGTCTCAGAGGTTCACCTACCAATTACAGCCAATGTGGGGAAGTCATAACTAAATTGCTCAGGAATTGGCCTGGATCCACAGATTAAAAGCTGGGGGGAAAGCCTTGCAAGATCTGAGAGAAATCAAGCTGTGATTAAGACAAATAGAAAATCACTACCAACATCCCAGAGGCTATTCCTCCTTAACTTCTTGAGTCAGACATGTGGAGCAGACATGTTGAGAGTACAGAGGGCTGGGAAAACTGCAGGTCAGGTGTACAGGGCGATGGGGCTGCAAATATTTAAGAAGTAAGTGGATTTATGGAAAGCATCATAAATAACAAGGACAGACGGTGGTCACGGTGTCAAATTGTCAATATATCTTGTACAGGGCCTTAGATCCGTTCCCACAACTGCAGGTCGCAAGCCCAAGGGACATTTAGATGGGGCCTCTTTCAGCACTCTGCTTTCGATTTGAGAAACACAGAGGAAAGGTAAGAACGCCTCCCATCCCCCATCTCCCTAAGATCCAGTGGACAGCTGATGCTATTAATGTCAGCAAGAACCTGCAAGAATGTTGAGGAAATAATAAGCGTTTGAGAGAGTCCATAGTTTCCACCTTCTTGGATGGCGGCTGGACTTCTATTTATTTACTACTTACACAGGAGATTGCTTCCTTCTTTCCATAATCCATAGTGGATTTCTTTTTCACAATATTATTTACAAGCTGTGGCCTTTAGTCTCCCCTAGGAGTATCCCAGGCCGCCCCTGAGACATGGAAGCTGGGCTTTTCCAGCAGTCAGCTCCCCTTCCTGTGCAGGCTTCCTCTGGAACAAGGCCCTTCGCTTGTCCTCCTTGGCACAGCCCTGTGGCTAGCCACAAATCGGCCCTGGGAGACGCATGTTTTGCCCCTTCCTCCTACACGGCCCTTCTCTGGCCCTCCCAGGGCACCTGTTGGAAGGAGTCTCTGACGTGGCGTGGGGTCCCTCCACTCCAGCACCCGTCATGTGTCAGAGGCCAGGCTGGGGGATGGCAGCAGACCCCCAAGTTGCTTGGCCAAAGTTCTCCGGAGGGGCACAGGCCCCCAGAATACACCCTGGCCAGGGCCCCCGCCACCGGGCTACAGATCGCAGCTGTAGACAGATTTCACTCGCCCAGAAAACTCTCATGACCAAAGCTACTTCTTAGAATCCACAACTGTAAAAAACAGACTTGGGTTGTATACCTCGTGAATTGCAGCCTAACTCCAGTGCTTTTCTTTTAAGGAGAAAAGAAATGAATGAAAAAAATACTTATTGCCAGATTTTCCTCACTGAGGAAGGTCATATGTATTTATAAAATCATGTCCCTGTAAAATGTTGACCATCTGCTAGGACAAAGTGAGACATTTCACTGGTCCATAGTGTAGGGTGACCTCCTCTCTGTCCTCTCACCCAATCTGGGCCAGGGGACCAGCTGTTCTTTTAGCTGGAAATGTTAAAGTAGCAGAGTTAATTGGCTGGAGAAAGCTTTTCTCCACCTGAGCCTAGTGTGTCCCTGCCCATTTGCACAGGAGAAGAGCTTTCCTAGATGCTGTGGAATATACGTGTCAGTATAAGAAATACGGTGTTCACAGACTCTGGGCTACATTCACGGTCACATTCAATCCTCTCAACGAGCCTGTGAATTCACTGCTATTGTGACTCCCATTTCTAGGTGAAGGAGCTGGGCTCGGACAAATTAATAAGCTTGCTCGGTGTCACTGGGTGGTTGGACGTGGCACTTCACCGCCCTCCTGCCCGTCGGGGAAGGGACGGGACACCCTGCTTTGCTCTGGAGAGCCGCTTCCTCTTGTGAGGCTCTGGAGCACAAAGCCGCCCATTTTGCTGTATGACTGTGAGTGTCCCAGGCCCGTGGCCGTGATGGGGCAAGAAGGACTGGTGATGTGAGCCATGACAACAGCACCTCCCTTACAGTTCTTTGAAAGAGAATCGTGTCACTGCTGGCGTAACTCCTCTCCCTCCCCCTCCGGAGAGCATCTTTCTTGCTGGAGGGCAGGCTAGGTAGATCTCACAGAACGATGACAGAGGGAAGAAGGCGGAAGGAAGGAAAGTTTTGGGCACTGCCCTAGATCAGGAATGTAGTGAGCGCGGTGTGATTGAAGAGGGGGTCTCTCGGATGGCCACAGAGAGGGAGGAAAGTGCTAGAAGAAGAAATGGTATTTTCTCATGAATTTCCCTTGCTACAGATGAGCCTTTTAACTCATTTGTGAGACCAGTGTGGAGAGTGCCTTCCTTTTGAGTCAATTTGCTGAACTGAACTTCCCGAATGTGACACGGAATCTGGTGGGACCTGACTTCGTAAGGTTAATGAATATAAAATTCTCATACAACAAACTTAGTGATGCTAATGTTTTACTTGCCAGAAAATTACAAGAGGGCTAAGTTGAGGATGATGTCAAAAGGTTTGGTTGGGCTGAGGGAATAATGGGGATGGTTCTGATTAAAAATTTAAAAAGGCAAGGTACTTATATCTTTATGCATCTGCTCGGGGGCTTAGAGTGGGGTGGAGGAATTGTGGAAAGAACATAGGATTTGGGGTCAAAGTGTCTGGGACTTGAATTCTGGCTCTGCCACCTGCCGAGTCTTGCCAAATCGTTAATATCTGGTTTCATTTATAAAATGGGGATTATTAATGTATGTGGTTTCTATGAGGATCAAATGATATAATGACTGGAAAAGTGAAATCCATACCATCATCAAACAGAGTTTTTTCCCAAGAGCCAGGCCACCTTCATTTCTGAGGCTTCTGTTCCTGGCATTATTCTTGTGCTTAATAGAAAGCTATAAAGTGTTCTTTATCAATTTATCTAGAAAAGCACCAGAACTCCCTCGAACTCGGAACATCAGGAAATTGGGTGTTTTGGGTGGTGAAAACAAAGGTGCTCTTTAGGGATACCGCTGGGGTCCGTTCTGAGTCTCACACTGTGCTTGTGTGACCAGCAGGTAGGAATCCTAGCAAAGCTCCTGGTGGTCACGTATGGGCTGGAAACGCAGTGAGAACAAGACAATGCTGATGTGCCCCACTGCAAACGTGAATAGGTCTTTCTGTTGATTAAACCGGAACAATGCCCCAAGACCCTGGAATGTGCTTGAGGCTGCTTTTTATACATTTTATTGGTCTGCATTGACTTTTAAAAGGAAGCCTGGGTCCGGGCAGGTAGTGGGCGTTGACAGGTTATTTTAAACAGTGCACATGGTTCTCTGAGCTAGGTTGGGGCAAACCAAAGTACAGGGGTATTCTATTAACTGGAACTCCAGAAGTGGCACATCCCTGTTCATAAAAATTAACCATGGCTCTGTAAGATAATAAAGCAGTCTGTGAGTAAGAAAAAGGGTGGGATTATGTTCCACGGGGTTTGACTATTAAGCATTCTTGACGTTTGATAATTCTCGAATGGGGTCTATGGCACCCTGTTAATCATCCTATTTGGTTAGCCAGGTACCGTGACCATACCTGACAACGGAGAAAGGGCTATAATCAGTTCCCTTTCTCAGCGGTATAGCTACACTTGCATTTCTCTCTGTCCCCTAATCCTGACTTTTGTGAGACTCTGTTTTAGGGCTGAAATGCCTGTCTCTCTTTCACACGCCTATTTATTCTTCATAACTCAGCTCAGATCCCATGTCTTCTGGGGAGCCTTCCTGAGCTGCCAGTGGGATAAATCCTTCCCTCCCCGTGCTTATTCCAAATAAATACACTTACTGCACCGCATTAGGGCGGTATTTCTATGTGCATCGTTCCTATGAGACTGAGCTGCTTGTGTTCAGAGTTTTCCCTGTCACTCTGGATGCTGAGTTCCTGGCACAGCACCAGCTCGTGCAACAGGAGCTCAGGAGTGCTTCATGGATTGCATTGTACTGAATCTAATGTGGCTGAAGAATGTGTCCGTGGATGTGTGCATTTCTGTGATATTCTTGCTGAGAAAAATGAAGCTGGCCGGCAGGGTCATGAGAGTTGTTTTGGCAGGGGACAGGGCGTGGATGGTGGGGGATGGGATGTACAGCTGTTCCCTAGTGGCCCGACATCTTACTTGCCACCTCAAGATTCTAGCTCAAAGGAAGCTCTCACCGAGGCTGTGTGGGTATCAGTTCTTATACTTTCTAGAACATATTAACTTATACAGTTGCAACTCCCATCCTTTTTTATTGATATCTTATTCTAAGATTGAGAAGCCAAAGCTATGTGCATGAGTGTCTGGGGTAGCATGGAGCTGGTAGGTGGGCCCTGGGGCCAGGCATGGAGCCAGAGGCCCCGAGTGTAGGCTAGGTATGGCTGACCCGGAGTTCACAAGACTCGGGCCGCTGCTGACAGAGCTGCTCGAAACTACATAATCACGGAGTTATGTTGGTAGCGATCGCACTGGCTAGAAAACACAGATTTATGAAAGCAGGTGGCTCAAGGCCATGGGCTCTGGAACTAGACAACCTGGGCTTGAGTCTCAAGTCTGCTACTTACTAGCTATGTGACGCTGGGCAAGTTGCTTAAACTCTCGGTGTCTATTTGCTCATCTCTAAAATAGGGATGAGGTATCATTTCATCATCTCTCTAGCTATTGTGTCTGGTTTCTCCGAGCATCAGAAGACAGAATGGCAATTGTGTTGTTTGTGACAATTAATTAAATTACTTTAAATTACAAGGTGCTTTGGACACTTCCTGGCACCTGGTAGGCTCTGCAGAAGGGCTAGTGAAATGAAACTGAGGTTAGAAGGGAAACCGAACGATCATCCAGGGGACCACGATCCGAAGTTTGCAGGCTGCCTGTGGTCACCCTTCTCTCCTGGCGGTCGGCCAGTGCCAGCCGCTGGATTCGGAGATCCCCCACCCCCCAAGGAAGCCTGAGCGGGAGCGGGAGCAGCAGAGGGAACAGGAGTGCGAGCAGTCCTCTTACCGTGGATAGCATAACCCAGCGCTCGTGCCAGCTGCTGGCCGGTGTTCCCTTGGGCTCCGAACTGCAGGATCTCCAGAGGGAGCGACACGCCGGCAGGAGAGATGACGACGTTGGTTCCATTTCTAGGGGCTGTCGCGTCCTGGTAGAGGCGAAGCGCGAGCTCGGTGTTCAGCAAGGTCAGGTCCTCGCGGAGGTCGCCCTGTCCTCCATGGAGGCAGGAGTGAAGCAGGAAGAGCGTGAACAGGCCCAGCCGCATGGAGGCAGGGAGGCTTCCTGCAGCTCAGAGGGAGGAGATGCAGGGTGAGGAAGACAGTCCCCTTCTGCAGAGAACTGGTCTGGGTTCGGGGCTCACAATGGCCGAGGGAGGCGTTCCGGGGCTGTGCTGCTCACCTGCCCCCAGCCTCATCCCTCACCCGCTGCTTCGCTGCATCCTGTTGTGTCTGCGTTAGAAACACGCGCCGTGAAGCCACACTGTGAAATGGAAGGATTTTAGGCGCTTTGTCACTTGCTAAACGTATGACTTTGGCCAAGGCTCTCGTCTGGTCAGAAGTAAACCATTGGGTTGGGAAAGAAATGTAAGAAGCACATCCTACTCCTATTTCTTGGTATTTAGCCAGCTTAGAGCTGTGCCGTGTCTATCATGAATAATAATAATTAATAATAATAAAAAATTACATAGTATTTTACAAAAGACTTTGTATTTTCTCAGTTAATCATTGCAATAGTCTTACAAGGTAGCTGTATTTCCAATACAGGGGGGATGAGATTTAAAGCACTTGGTGAATCATTTAAGAAAATACATGGGCTAGGGAGGCCTGAGTGGCTCAGTGGGTTAAGCGTCTGCCTTCGACTCAGGTCATGATCCCAGGGTCCTGGGATCGAGCCCCACAGTCGACCTCCCTGCTCAGCGGGAAGCCTGCTTCTCCCTCTCCCTCGGCCGCTCCCCCGGCTTGTGCTCACTCTCTCTCTCTCTCTCAAATAAATAAATAAAAAATCTTAAAAAAAAAAAAAAAGAAAATACATGGGTCAGTGTCCATCAACAGATGAATGGATAAAGAAGAGGTGGTGTATATATATATACAGTGGAATATTATGCAGTAATAAAAAGAATGAGATTTTTGCCATTTGCAACAACATGGATGGAGCTAGAGAGTATAATGCTAAGCGAAATAAGTCAGTCAGAGAAAGACAATGTAAGGTTCCACTCGTATGTGGAATTTAAGAAACAAAACAGATGAACATAGGGGAAGGGGAGGGAAAAATAAGATAAAAACAGAGAGGGAGACAAACAAAAAGAACTCTTAACAATGGGAAACAAACTGAGGGGTGCTGGAGGGGAGATGGATGGGGAGGAGGGGGGAACTAGGTGATGGGGATCAAGGAGGGCACTTGTGATGAGCACCAGGTGATGAGTGGAAGTGTTGAATCACTATATACATATATAGAAGAAAGAAAACACATGACTCAAGCCCTGGTCTCCCAAGAGTGATACATAAAACACTAAGGATATAAATGCACATGAAAATAGTGATACATGAGCTAATTGTGCCTAGAATAGCAGAATTCTTGTGATGTGAACGATTGTCATAAAAAAAGCGCTTTCACAGACAGGAGAATTATAGCAGTATCGCTCCTACCGAAGAATGGTACCCCTCTAAGGAAGAGAGGGCACTAGCTGGAAATTAATGCAAAGAAGAGAAAGGCCAAGGGGTTTTCAATGACTATGGCACACATACAGCCCTCAGCAATTTCTGCTGAGTTACCTAACTCTGGTGTCAGACAGGATTGGCGTGAGAGAAGCCCAGTCCAAAGTCCCTTCCTATGAGGAGTTGGCAAATAAGGCCATTGGGCTCAACGATGTGTACTTTGGATAAAAGTGCAAGATGGAAAAGCATCTTCCCTGCAGCCAGGCACAAATGCAGGGTTTGCATGCCTTGGTACAGTAGGGGTAGACTGTGTGTGTTTGTGTGTGGGGGGGTGTCTTTCCGTGTGTTTGGAGGAGGCAGGTCCTAGCCCGGGTCATTTGTGAAATGACCAAGTCCCAGTGATCATGCAGCTCCTCTGACCTCCCACAAGGACACTCAGCAATCAGGCTCCTGTGCCCCTGGGCTCCCCGTGACCACATCCCCGCCATGGTCCGCCACGGACGAGCTGCTTACTCACGGACTCTTGCCTCAGACTGTTGGGTCTCCTTGCTTGCTTCTCTTCATGTGGGTCTCCAGCATTAACGGGCTGCCCTTTTTAAAAAGTGGAGCAGAGTCCGCTTTGAATCACAAGACAGCACAGGGAGGAAGCTGGAAGTGGCCGTCTCTGCCGGCGATGTCTCTACCACTCGGTCCAAATTCCTGGAGCCTGAGGTCCTGCAGAGAGCCAGGGGAAGGAGCACGGCCCGGGGGCAGCAAAGCCCAGATCGGAAACAGAGCAGGCCCTGGGGAGGGAGCCAGCCACACCCGTCAAGCCTTCTTAGGCTTGTGACCTGGTTGTACCAGCAAGGGACCCCTCATCCAGCCCTCTGTCACTTTGAGGAATTCCGCTGATAACTCTGCCGGCCCGGCTTTTGCTGGGTACCAGGTACCTAACGCTTCTCCCCTCCTCCTGGGAAGAGAACAATACATCAGTCATTGGGCACTTGAAACTTGTAGCAAAGGACATTCTGCAAAAGAGAAAAAGGAAACAATCCAAGATATGGCATAATAAGATTGAAACAGGGTGACGTGCCTTATTTATTACTAATCAAGTGAGGGCATCTGTTTATCCGTAATATAGGCACCATTAACTGTCTTTTTCTTCTTTGATACAATAGTTAATAAATCCGATGACTTAATTTGAGAAAGAAACTATGTTGTCCATGAGTAAATGCTCATTGGGGGAAAGCATAAGCAGATTCCGTCGAAAGTCTGTCCTTGTGACCAATTCAGAATTCCATACATTTCTATTAGGGTCTTAGGCATTGTATTAAGTTCAAAATAGATGATAGGCTATAAATTGTTACAAGTTAAAGAAAAGAAAAAGACATTTGGAAATGAATGAAATTCTTAGTAACTATCTCTCAGGCATGTATTAATTGTTACTATTCGAAAATGCATGTGAGGCTGTTTATCATCTGACCACTACTCACACCATCATAATCAGTGGCCAGTTTATTTATTTATTTTTATCTATTTTAGTGGGCAATTCACTTTAATTTTTTTAAGCGATTTTTTCTTTTCCTTCCTACTTTTTCTACCTTTTTTTTTTTTTTAGGGGGGGTAGGGGCAGAGGAAGAGGAAGAGAGAGAATTCCAAGCAGGCTCCACGCCCAGTGTGGAGGCCCATGTGGGGCTCGATCTCACAACTCTGAGATCAGGACCTAGAGTCAGATGCTTAACCGACTCAACCACCCCTAGTGGGCAATTCACTTTAAAGCAGAGTTTTATTGCTGACACTCAAGCCTGGGATAGTTTTTAGGTCTTAGGATAGTTATAGTTCTATAACTGTTTTACTTGAAATCTCCCCAAATGTTTAATTTAGATGAAGTGTATGTATCGTGCATGTTTTGGACTCTAAACCATAGCACGGTAGTCCTTCCCTCCTTCCTTCCTTCCTTCCTTCTTTCCTTCCTTCCTTCCTTCCTTCCTTCCTTCCTTCCTTCCTTCCTTTTACATCCAACAAATATCTCTTGCTTGCCTGCTAGGTTCTGAGGCCACTGTGTTAGGTCCTGTGGACGAAGCAGTGAGCCAGCTTTCATGGGACGTAGAGGCTTGTCCCTAGGTTAAGAAGAAGTTAAGAGTTAAGAAGAGTTAAGAAGAAAGGGCTGATCATAAGGAGGATGGGGGTCACTTGCAAGGACTGTCTCCCAATGCCGTGAGTTCCCCATAGCTGAGTTACCTGAGCATAAGCTGATTCAGTATTCACCAGTGGTGGGCTTAGGGGGGTGCTTATATGATTTCCCCAATAGGAAAAAGGTCGGGCTGCGTGACTTCCATGAACATTCCACTCCTAACTCTAAGACTGTATCATTCTAAATTGCTTTTAAAAAATATTCTCAAGGAAAAATGCTAGGGAAACTTAGCATACAAGAAATATTTCCTATATGGGTTAAACATTTCAAAGTGTGAATGAATGAAAGATGAACTGCAATGGATTTTTCTTTTGTGTGCTCAGCTGTGAACCTGGGTAAGCCACTGCGTTTCCCGCACACTTTAGCAGAGGTAATCATGCTCATTTCTACCTTGTAGGATGTTGGTGACACTGCAAAGGGAGCCTCCATCCTTGGAGATATTTATTCATTATAACAACAAAAATAGTGAACATTGCTGAGCATTGGCTGCGCTCCAGATAGTCTGTTATATACTTCGCATTTACAGTTGCAGTGAGTCCTTATAACAATCCTATGAGGAGTGTATTATTATACCCATTTTGCAGATGATAAAAGTAAGGCTTAAAGAGCTTAAGACGCTTGCCCAAATTCCCACAGTTAGAGGTCAAGCTGGATTTGAACCAGGGATCTTGACTCCAAGGTTCATGCTCTTTGCCACACTCTTGTTGGTGTCTGTCAGGGCTCTTGAAATCCCTCTTGGCGAGGGGGTTGCAGGCCATTGGGTGGCCAGCCCAGACTCTGTTGGCTCATAACCTGTATGCACTCTGCCCACATTCACCAGGAATGCTATGGTGAATCGCCTGTAGCGCGACTGCATGAGGTGTGGCGCCTTTAATTATAATTCTTAATTTTTCCCAACCTGATTTCTTACAGGCATAAACAAATTGCTTTCAAACCCAGAGGTCTACCAAACTGACGTGATGGAGAGAAGCATTTTGCATTTTAATCCTGTGAGAACATAATTAACACAGGGACATCTCCTCTGTGGTGTGGGCTGCTTGTCTGGGGTTGTACAGAGACAGTCCCCACTTGTCTCTGTGCTCAAGGAGTTTGCCATGGCGAGAGAGCACTCTGACCAAATTGAGACGCGGGGGCACAATAAAGAAATCCCGGGCACTGCTAGAGGCAGCCGGGGCAATGCGAGGGAACCCCGCACCCGCTGCTGCAGACTTGGACAAAACACGCAAGTCCTTCTGGGGAAACCGGGCAGGTGGCCCCACCTGTCCCTCCAGCAAGGAGACGGTGCAGGCGGCTGCCTGGGCTCCCCCTGGTCACAGGTGACGGCTGACACCCAGCCCTCAAGTTCTTCACAGGTACCCAGTGCATGGACTCAAAATGAGCCCCTGGACCTTCCCACCATCCAGTGCCTTTCAGTATGGTGCGGCGTGGACGGCACAA